AATTTTAAAAAAAAGTGAATCTTCAAAATAATAAAAATAAAAAGGGAAATGCTTGAACTAGAACATGAACTGAACAGTGGTTCGCAAATTGTCAACTCCACGCCAGCAGCATGGGCATCACCTGGGAACTTACTAGAAGTGTACATTTTCAGGCCCCACCCCAGACTTACTGAATCAGAATGACGAGGAGGTGGGGGGGACACAAAAACCGTGATTTGCCACCCCAGGTAGGTGATGCTGATGCACAACAAGCTCTCAACAAGAGCACAGCTGTGGCCCCTGGCATGGTGCCCCCCTCCCCATGCACGGTGCTTACAATGTGTGAGAAAATTTCCACCAGGAGGATTACTGAACAGATCATCTAGAATTCATGGGCCCTGTAAATGCCGCTGTTGGGAGATATAGGTAAAGTCTGGATTTATGCCAACTGTTTTATGTCTGGCTCGACTGAATGCATGTAATGAATGTCTTTCAGGAAATGTGAGGTACACACAAAATTAATCACATCTAAAGAGCAACCAATGGGCATCTAAAGACATAACAAAACTACATGTTAATAAACTGACTTCTTTGTTCTGTTTGCTTTCTATTATTTTGTTGTTTCGTATGGATTAACCAGATATTTATTATAAAAAATTTAGTCTGAAGTTTGGACTGTGGTGAACTAATTCATTCTTTTCCCTTCACTCCAACTTTCAACTGAGCACATCACATGTTAGTGAGGTTTCTTTTAGTTTCCTTTCAGTTGAGCTCTGATTTGTTATTTTTCTTTGCTTTCCTGGACTACTTAATAAAACCAAAAGATGGAGCCTGCCTTACCTAGAGTTTCATTTACATTTGCATTTTGTTCTCTGTAATTAAATAATTAAAAGAACTCTCTAATAGGTGTACAATTAGTTACAATTCTGAAAACTATTTGATTCAAAAATTCTAGAAACATTTCAGTGTTCTTTTAAAACTGAACAGAAGGCTAGGAGTAACAACAGAAGAGACAGCCACAACCGAGTGATAAACAGTCAACAGTCACTGCCAATATAAGACCAGCGTTGAAAGGACATAGAAAAACACAATTCTTAATCACAACCTACCACAAGGATAACTCAGTACTTGGATGTCATCAATGGCAATATAACCACTCCTCCCTCCTGAAACTTCAGCTTCAAATATTACCTGTCAGGAAGAAATAGAAAACATTTACAACAATCATTTTTAAGGAATTTTCACAGTCACACTTATGAAAATTAAATTTGATTTTTATCCAGTAAGAATTAAAAATGTATCGTATACTGTACAGTAATTTCCTAAATCTTGTCCAGGTAAACAAACAAAAGAATTACTGAGGTGAAGAAGCTAAAAAATTATTTAAGCACCTGCTACTGTGTGTTAGAATTCCTGAATGGGCATCATCTAGGCAGAATGAATAGGAAAATACAGCTAATCTCATATCCCTACATTTTCTCTTATTGATTTTCTCCGTTTTTGCTGTTTATTTAAAATACTCTGAGCACCTACAATGTACCGGGCGATGGCTAACCAGTGAAAATAGCAAATGTCTACGCTTTTAAATAGCTAAACTTTCAAAGACAGAAGCCATCGGCTAGATTAGCAGTATTCCAGGCAAAAGGAATAATATACAATGGAATAGTATAGAGGTGTGTGTTTGGGGAACCAAATGAATATAATCTGTATGGCTAACAAAGCTTCCAAAGGGAAGAGGTAAGATTAGAGAGCTAGGCACAGAAGACCTTAAATACTATTGGACTAAAATCAGGAGTACATTCTGTCAATAAATTCCACATTAATAAATATTAAACAAAAACGTTTCCATGTTCACATATAAACTCATGTTGTAGAGTTTCATTGTTACAATCAATAGAAAAGCTTCATATAGCCTTTGTTTTTTTAATAATATGTAGTGTGACTTTTCAAGAGATACCATTTTTACCATGCCACCTTTCAACATTTTATTTGACTATGGGCTCCTTTATTCATGGAGATACACAGATTATTTTTGGAGTATTCTGCAAACATTTTAGGAAATGTGATGGAAATTAATGTTTAAAGTAGGAATATGGTATAATCAAATTGATCTATTAGAAACACATATGCCTGTAAGGTAGAGGACGGACTAAAAGAAACAAAGACTGGAAACAGGTAATATGCTAGTAGGAGTGGAAATAGAGAGATATGAAGAAAAAAGAAAGATAAAAATAATGCTAAGGAAACGGACAAAATGAAACTTATTGACTTGTTAGTTGTGGTGAAATATAGGGCAATTCTAACTCCAGGCTTGCACCACTAGACGAACTGTGCTATCAGAAGCCCTAGCCAGGACTAGTAATACAGAAAAAAGGTACAAATTTGAAGGAGAACATGACTAAGTACATTACAAATCTGATTTGCCTAGGGTACACATGGAGTAAAGGTTTAGAGCATAACTGGACAAATGTATCTCAAAAATAAGAGACAGGTCCACAGTAAAGCCATAGATTTGGAAGTCTTCATCATGGAAGTAAGTTATAGACTTAAAAGTGAACATGGTGGGTGAATAAGATGGCATAGGAAGATAAAGAGGAGAAAACCACTGAAAGGGAAGGCAGCAAAACAGCAGCAGAAGTAAAGCCAACAAAGTAGGGTTCAGATATATAATGACCAAGGAAAGAAGAGAAGTGCAGGAGGTTTCAGGCAGGTCAACAATCCCACTGAAAAACAAAACAAAAAACGAACTGTAACAACCATAATTTTAAAATATCAGATATCTACATAAACAATGGCATTTAGATGAACACAAATTCTAGGAGGACAGATTCTCTCCAATGTGACCCCTGATCTTCGGCCATGTCCCCTTTCCCACGGGAATTATTTGTCAATTCCAGGATCAGGGTGTGGTTCTAGCTCAGCACAGATGTAGGGCCTCTGCTGGGAGAAAGTGGAAACAGTGAAGCTTGCTGTGCAGGACTCTGGAAATTTAGAAGTCTAGATTAAAAAAAATGTTGACTGTGGCAAAAAATATGAAATATAGGGGAGAGGTCAAGAAAAACTAAAATTAAAAAGTATCAATTAGAATTAACCATTAGGAGTTCTCTGGTAACGTTTGGCAGACAGTTTTACCAAAGGGAAGCGGCGGAAGACTGACTGAGTTGATAGTAACTAACATTTATTGAACACTTACCTTATACAAGAGACTATCCTAAGCTAGCATGCACACCATCACGCTCGCATCTGTCATCTCTCTTTCTCTTTTTTCCCGCCACACACACACACACACACACACACACACACACACTCTCTCTCTCTCTCTCTCTCTCTCTCTCTCTCTCTCTCAATCCTCACTACAGTCGTGTAAAGTTGGTATTTTTATCCTCAATTTAAAGAAAAGTTAAGTAACTGGACCAATGTCATAACAGTTAACAAGTGGCAGGGCCAGGAAAGGACAGCTTCCATTCTTCTATCAATTTCACTACACTGTCTCTCAAGATAAAAAACCAAATGCAGAGAGAGCATTTCTTTTAAGCAGGCTTTATATATCCTTTAAAAGTCTAACATGTTAAACTTTAAAGATTAATGTCATTTTAAATAGTACTTCAACTAAACATTACACTGACTAGGTAGCAGGATCATCAGCATTACATCCTTCCCATTTTCCTCCTGTGCCCCTACATCCACCCCAAAGCCAATGACGATGGGACCCAGTAGATTAGGTGGCTGGTTTGTCTCCCATCCACCCGTTCCCATCATAAGCCTTCTCCTGTGTTACTTCTTTCCTACTTTGTTTGTCCTTTATGACTATTGATGTCACTGGAATAAGCTAAGAAAGAGAACAGGGTCTTTGTGGGAAGAGAAAGACTTGACAAGAAGGATAGCTAATCTATGAACACAGAAGTGCGTGAGCATGTGTGTGCATGCATGCCTGCGATTTACATTTCATAAAAGTGTATCTGATATGAAAACAATTGTCATGCCACTTTCCAAATACTGGAACAAAGGCTTATTAGAAGCAAGAAATAGAGGCGAGAATCAGAGACGTTAAACAAAGTGTAACTTGGAGTGACTGTGGTAGAGGCCTCTTTCCTGGGGCTGAGAAAACTTGTACTTGACTCCCAACTCTCCTGTTTACAAATTCTTGAGCAAATCCCAGAACCTTTTGCAGCCAAATCCCAAGTCCTTAACATGGATATAATGCAGCTTTCATTATAAAGTTTTATGAGGATTAAACAGTAACAGACGTAAAAGTGCTATATAACCAAAGGGTAAGCTCATCAACATTGTTAATGTCTGAGATTTGTGTAAGTGTCTCTCAGGAAAATAAGTTTTATTTGCTTGAATAGCAGTTCAGGAAAAGGGAAGGTATGGAAAGAAAAAGTGAGAAAACTGTTTTTGAAGAAAAAAACTACATTTTTTATGAATAGACCACATATCTGTGTAATTAATCCTTGGTTATTTCACTTCCATTGAAGCCAACATTAATTAAATTATTTTAATTTCTTAAGTTTATCTTAGTTTTACTTTCTCCAATTGTCTTACTTCCTTTGCTTCATATAGGTGATAAGTTTATAGATGTTTGCCCCCTGAGAAAAAGTTTCTTATTTGTTCATTTAAATTGAGCTTTTATTCTGAACAATAAATTTAGGCCTGGATTTAAAAAGGGAAGCAAAAGAACCGGTTCTTTATTAGAGAAAAAAAAAAATGTTTCTCTTTTTAGTGACCTCATTTTCTCTGCTAAGTGCTGTCTTTGCCTCATTAACAAGAGCTGGAGGGAGTTTCTAAGATCAGATTCCTTTACTACTAAGGATCTAATCAGCTTTATCACTTCAACAGAGCCCTCACCTTGTAAGGCTCTTCTGTCCAGTCAGGGGAAACAGATCTCGAGAGCTTAATTACGCAAAGCTTGCTTGAGCAAATGCTCAGGTCAGATCTAATGTCTGGTGTCAGATAGTCAACCAGGGCTTCCCAGAAGAGAACAAAGGAAGCCCTACCAGATGTCAACTTTCACCCATCTAAGAGGCCAGCCTGGGAACAGAATGGATGGGCTCTGCTTTGCATGCTGTTTTCACTCTACTCCATTACCTGAACCACTGAAGGTAATGATTCCAATCAAATTTTTGCTACTCTAGCAACATTCTTGGATTATTAACTAAATAAGTGAGGTAAGGTTGAATTAAAATAGAGGGGGGAAAAGGCAAACCCTAAAGAACAAGGACTTCCTCTCTGGCAAACTGAATTATAGCAGAGAATGTACCTCACATAAGGGAAAGCTGAACTCGAAGTCAGGAAGTCTGTGGATATAATTGCTATCACCTGTAAGCCACAAAATGATTTCGCTGTGTCTTCCTCGCCTCATCCAGGCAATACTGGCCTTGCCTACATCACAAGTTTGTGGTGAAAACTGAATGATATATACACAATGATTAAATGATACATGAAATACATGTAATACAAGATATTATGGATATGAGAAAAATCTGAAAAACAACTTTGTCCTTAATTTTCTTTCTTTTTATTTTTAAAGATTTTATTTATTCATTGAGAGAGAGAGAATGAGAGAGAGAGAGCACACGAGAGGGGGGAGGGTCAGAGGGAGAAGCAAACTCCCTGCTGAGCAGGGAGCCCGATGGGGGACTCGATCCCGGGACTCCAGGATCATGACCCGAGCCAAAGGCAGTCGCTTAACCAACTGAGCCACCCAGGTGCCCCATTAATTTTCTTTCAATATTATCAGTTTTAAGAGTATAGGCTCCAAAGTCAGAGACACATTTAGTTTACTTTTTTTAAGGGTAACTTTAACTTATGGAAAAATATATGTAGAGTTGTACCTGAAGTTACACATTTGCAACTTTGTATATAAAGTTACTTTGGTGACTTATGTAAAATCTAAGCCTGAGTTTCTTTTCCTTTTTTTTTTTTTAAGATTTTATTTATTTATTTGAGAGAAAGAGAGACAGAGAGAGGGAGAGGGAGAATCAGGCTCCCCGCTGAGCAGGGAGCCGACGCAGGGCTCGATCCCAGGAATCCAAGATCATGTCCTGAGCCAAAGGCAGATGCTTACCTGACTGAGCCACCCAAAAAAGAAACTATTAGTATCCACGTCAGGGCTTAAGGGAGGATTAAATGAGATACGCACGTGAAACATTTAGCACAAACCCTGGTACCCAGTAAGTATACCACGTTAA